TTCTCGGGGCAGTTGATGGGGGGGATGACCCAGTCCCTCTTGTGGCGCCGGAGGCCGTGTCCGTGCTCCGGGAAGGTCAGCACGTTGGGCACAATATCCTGTTGGGACAGKGGCTCTGCTCGGTGCCAGCACCTTGCTGAGTCCGCTGCATCAGGCATGGGGAGCTGTGACCCCAAGGAGTGGGTCTGTGCTTTACCTGCTGCATCTGCTTGTGGTGTTGGTGCCATCGCYGGCGCACGGTCACCTTGGCCGAATGCTTCTTGCCCGTGCTGTCCCAGGTGTGCACAGMGAAGGCGATCTGCCGCCGCTGCAGCTGCAGGGGCCGGGTGGCAGAGACGACGCCATCCCTGCTCACCTTGAAGCGCGTGTCGTCCGGGAGGAACACAGCGTGGTGCGACTCACCACAGTCCACAAAGCTCACTGGGGACAGGGGACAAAGTGGCAGGGGCTTCTGGGGACACGGGCACACAGAGCACAGCCACGCCCCAGCGGCCCAGGGTGGGGAGTCACAGCAGTGGCGGGGATGCTCCACACACAGTGCCAAGTGCCCTGCCAGGGTCCATCCTGGGCATGACACACGGTGCATCCCTGCCCTGGCTTTGGTCCAGGATGGGACATGGCACGAGCTGCTGAGCCACAGGATCCCTACTGGACAGTGACAATGCGGGTACAGCATGTCCCTGCCACACACAGCACCACGTATGGTGTGGTGCTGGGCACAGCACATCCTCTCATGGCTGTGGCACAGCGTGTCCCCAAGAGTGGCATCTCACCACCAGCACTGGCACTCAGTGCCCTGGCAGTCGGGCATCTCAAGTTGCTCAGGTACCCTCCAGGACCCCCAAACGCAGGGAGAGCGGSCAGGCACTGTCCCCATGTCCCCAGCCTGGCACCCGGCTGGGCGCGGCAGAGCTGGGCCGGCACAAGGCAGCGGTCAGCCGGTATCACATGAGCCAGGGCCGCGCTGCCGCAGCTCCCGAACAAACACCCTTTGTCTGGGAAAGAGTTGTTGGAGCCAGCGGCACCCGGGCTCCAGAGCCAGCACCGCCACCATCGCCCTGGTGTGACCTGCGCCTCGGCGAGGGGACGTGCCGGGCTGGGCGGGAGGCAGAGCGGCACAGCCGAACGGACAGAACGGAACGGGCCCGGGTTACGTCAGCCCGGGAGCAGCCCAGGAATCCGGGAATGGCCGTGGGATGGAGAGCTGAGTGATCGCTGCCCCCTGCCCACTGCGGTGCCCCCAGCCCGGCCAGGCAGCACCCAGCGGCGCGATGCCAGCCCCACGGCGGGACCCCCGGCAAGGCTGGCAGAGCCGGWGSRGCCGGCCRGGCAGGAACGTGCTGGGGCAGGCGRGAAGGAGAGGCACCCGCGGGCGCAGGGCTTGGCCTGGGCCCTGGCTCGGGTCCCGGTGGGTGCAGCGAGGGGCAGCACGGGCCCCCAGCCCCACACCGGGCACAGGGAGAGCTCAGCGCTCTGCCCGCGCTGGGTTCAATGAGTGCGGGGAGCTCAGAGCCCCCTTTGCCGCTCTCCCGCCTTCCAACTCCCCCCTTTCCACCTGGCCATGCACAACCTGTTTTTCCAGCTTGGCTGAAGGAGGGCTGGCCCCAGCCCTCCCCTCCCCGGGGCTGAGAGCTGGGGGGGGCCCTCTCCTGGGAATGATGGGGGTGGGAGAAGAGGAGAGCTCAGGGAGTCCCGCACAGGGATCCCCCCACTTCCAGTCCCCCACCAAACCCACAGGGCCCTGGGACAACCAGACTGTGGTGCAGCCAGGCTGAGATCCCACACAGGGGCCAGGGCAGACCCCTAAAGCCACCTCATGTCCTGCGAGGGCTGGGCACAGACAGAGCAGTGTGTCACCGTCCCCGTGGTGACACCACCCCKCGTGTTTCACACTCACAGCGGTGCSAGGACAGGGGGCTCACCCGGGGTGAAGGTGCCGCGGGTGACACATCCCACTGACGTCACCCCGGTTTCACTGTGACTTCACACTCTCAAGGTTTCTCCACCCAGGGCACACAGGGACTGTCCCAGCCCCCAGCACAAGCCCACCACCCCTGAGCCCCCCAGCCCACGGAGCAGAGCCCCGGTGTCACCGCAGCCCCCGCGCAGGTGGTGCCGTTCGCCGCCCCGGCGCCGTGCAGGGCCTGCCCGGGCCTGCTGGAGGGAAAACACGGCGTTCAACTCATCAAACTAATTACAGACTGGCTCRGCAGCCTGGCCACGAGCTTTGGGGTATTCTCTGGCCCAGCGTGGCCTAGACCCCACCAGATTTGGGCACCCCATGGCTGGCATTGCTGTGGCACAGGGTGAATCACAAGGTGCCACACTGGCCTCAAGGGCAGATAGCCCTTTCCTTCCTCCCACACCCTGATTGTGCCTGGAACCCAAAACTGAAAGTGCTGGTGCCAGGACAGAGGATTTCCTGCAGGTCCCAGTGCTGCAGGGAAGTCACAGGGCTACCCGTCACCCTGGTATCGGGCACAGCCCTGGTGGACATCGGCTGCTCKGTGTTAATGATCAACCAGAAAGCAAACAAACACAATTCCTGGGCTGTGGGGCAGGGTTTGAATCCTGCCTCTCCCAGGTGAAGCCGTTACAGAGCCGAGGATGTTTGGGGACCCCTGGGTGCTCAGAACCCCTCGGCCCTGAGCACACCCCAGCCATCCTGGCACACAGCACCACTCTCAGCCACAAACTGGTGCAGATTGTGATGGCCACTGCACGGCCCCAGAGCCCACAGAGCCCTTTTTGTGGACCCCAAAGTGGCACCAGGTCCCCAGCACAGTGGGACACCAATGTCCCCAAAAGCCTAGGAGCCCATCCCGGTGCCCGTCCCTATGCCCAGAGCTGCCCTGGGGTCCAAAGGGGGGCTCACCCTGGTGAACCCTGGGTGCCAGGTGAGGCGTGGGGCAGGGCAGGCGCCTGCGCRCCCCACGCCCCAACCTGCCGGTCCCAACAGGTCTGCGGTGCCTGAGTCAGCGCCGCCCGCGCTGGCGCACCCCGGGGAGCGGCTCCTGCTGCCCCCGCGCCACGACGCCAGCCGCCACACCGGGACCACCAGTGCCCATGCTGGGACCACCGTGCCCATGCTGGGACCACCAGTGCCCACGCTGAGACCACCAGTGCCCATGCCGGGACCACCAGTGCCCTCAGTGCGGCCCCAGCGCTGCGCATGGACACAGCATCCCGTACGGCTCTGTCCCCCGTGCCACCTGCCACCACAGCGCGCCCGTCCCCGCCACCATGGCACCGTCCACCCCACCATGGCACCGTCCCCACCACCCTGGCACCATCTCCACGAAGGCAGCCAAAGCGACACTTGGGCACAGAACCACGGCTTCAGGACTCCAATTGCCCACCCCTGTCCCACACACCTCCCTGTTCCCATAGCTCCGTCCCCATCCTCACACTGTCCCTGTCCCCACCCTGTCCCCCACGCCCGGCTGTCCCCGTGTCCTTACCTCGTCCCAGGGCCCGTCCCGCCGCCACGCTGTCCCGCGGCACCGTCAGGGCAAAGGTCTGGGCGGTGAAGCCGGGCTGGCACGGCGCTGCCCGCTGGCACARCCACTGCCCGCTCTGTCCGGAGAGAGACGTTTGCACCGGGCAGGGTCCCGAGCAGGGTCCCGCTGCCCCGGGCAGGGTCCGGGCGGGTCCCGGGCAGGGTCCTGCCGCCCCATTCCGTGGCTCACCTGGAGCAGGAGCAAAAGAAGGCAGAGCGGGACCGAGCGGCCCGCCCGCCGCCCCATGGCCGGTGCCGGTGCCGGGGTCGGTACCGGRGTCGGTACCGGTGGGTGGGTGCCGGAGGGATCGGGAGCTGCCGCCGAAGAGTCGCAGGTGCGTCCGGTCCCCTCCCGGCCCCGCCCCGCAGGTGTGGACCCCGGGGAGGCGGGAGGGAGCCGCCCCTTCCAGCTCCAAGGGGGTTGGTCCCGTCCCGGCGGCGCCCGGGGCTCCGGTATTCCCGGTTCCTCCCACGGGACTGCTGTGGTATTTCCCCCGCGGTTCCCGGGACCGTGGCACCCGCGTTACCCCTTCAGCCCCTGGTAACCCCAGTACCCCATTTGCCCCCAGTACTCCCATTACCCCGGTTCTCTGTCCGTCCCAGGCACCCCGGTTCCCCCGTCCCCGATATTCTCAGCCCCGGACACGCAGCCCCCGGGCTTTCCACGCCTCTCCCGTCCAGGGCTGTGGGACAGGGCATGTGGGTGGGTGACAGGAACCAGGAGTACTCCAGGGTGAGCTCTGCGGGGAGGGCAGACATGGTGCCCAGAGAGCCCTGAGGGTGCTGCAGTCCCCAGCTCCCCCATACCCTTCTGTCCCAAGACACAGCAGAGCTGGGGATGACCCCATGAACCCCATGGCAGGGACCCCAGGGAAACCAGCTGCCCCCACCCCATGCTGTCAGGAGCTGGTCCTGGAGCCAGTGGGAGACCCCCAGGGCTCGGGGTCCTGCCAGGACCAGAGGCTGCTGTGCCCACCCATGGTCACCTCAGGGGGTTGGGTGGCAGCCYGGGGCTGCAGGGCTCTGGCCACCCAGGCCAGAAGGGATTTAGCACCAGGAATGCCGAGTGCCACCAGTRTCATTTCCATGGGGGACAGACTGGGGGTCAGTGCCCTGCCCATGTCCACCAGCACCTCTTGGGGACAAGGACACCCTGGGGTGGACATGGGCACTGCCCGTGTAAGTGACACTGCTGTGGGTCCCACACTGGGGTGGGCAAGGGGCAACAGGACTGGGGAGGGGTCAGAGCACAAAGTGACACAGAGCCTGGAGCATCTAAAAAAACCAAATCCTTTATTAAAACTGACCCAGCTCCCATCCCCTCGTCCGCAGCATCACACGCCGTCATTCCATACCTTAAAAAATAGATAATAACCACAAAAACGCAGGCGAGGAGGTGAGGGGGCTGCGCCGGGGCGGGGGGCGTGGCGGGGGGAACCCCCAAGGCACAAAAGCAGCAATAAGGCRGGGGCAGCGGGCCGGGGGTCCCTAATCGTCCTCCTCGCCGCCGCCGTAGAGCTCGGCCAGCTTGCGGAAGCGGCTGCCCCAATCATTGAGGTAGTCGTAGTCCTGGTCGCCGTCAGAGGCCGAGGAGTTGAGGGAGCTGAGCGAGGTGGCCTCGGAGCCGCTGCCCTCGTAGTCGAACACCAGCAGTGAGTCGTAGGGAGGGGCCGTGGGGTCCGTGTCAGCCGCCTTCAGGTTCTGGGGAAGCAGAGGGATCAGTGGCTGTGTCCCCTGCGCTGTCACCTTTCCCCCCGTGCTGTCCCCGGGCTCTCCGTGTCGGGACTCACCTCCTCAATGAAGGTGCCGATGTCRTCGGGGTTGGCGGGRCGGGGYCGGTACTGGGGGGCCGGCAGGAGGGTGGGTGCCACATCATTGCGGATCACCTCGGGCCGGGCGTCCAGCCCCCGGTGCAGCTGGCTCAGGTCATAGTTCTGGGGACACACACACACACACACACACACATGTGGAGAGGGGCAGTCAGGTCGCCCACGCTGTCCCCAGCCCCCGGAGCCCCACACCCACCTGGTCCTCCTCGCCGCCACCCTCCTCCCCGTAGTAGAAGATGTTGTCCCTTGTGTCGTCCTCGGGCAGCAGCAGCGGTTCCTTTGTCACCTTCCTTCTCCTCACGAAGAGCAGCAGCAGCAGCAGGATGACTGCGGGGCACGGTGCCATCAGCGGGGACATGTGCCCAGGGCAAGGTTGTCCCCACAGCCCCACACCCCGAGATCCCCACTCACGCAGCAGGGCCAGCAGCGCGCCCAGGGCGGCGAGGACAAAGGGCAGGGCGGTGACAGCCTGGGGTCTCTGGGGACAGCCCTGTGCCGGCCCCTCGCAGGCACAGACCCGTGCGGTGATGATGGTCACCTGGGCTCTGCCCGGCTGGTCCAGCAGCCGCAGGTACACGCTGTASGTGTCCGGCTCCAGCGCCGCCACCAGCTGCAGTGTCACCGTGTCACCTGCGGGACATGGGGCTCACAGGGATGCACCAGGAGCGCAGCCACGGCACAGCTGCTTCTGCCCAGGACCCCCCGGTATCTGCACCCTCCCTGCCATACCTGTGTCCCCCACCTCCACAGCCCAGCTGTCCCCGGAGCCGTGGGTGAGCTCGGCGCGGAAGGGGCCGGTGTTGGGGGGCAGGTCCCGGTCGGTGACGGTGAGGAGCTGGGGCTGGGGGTTGCGCTGGCACACAGTGATCTCCTGGGGCTCGGCCTCGGGGCCGTTGTCGTTCACGTCGAGCAGGGTGAGGAGCAGCGTGCCCGTGCCCGTGGCCGGCGGWGAGCCTGGTAGGGACAATTCTGGAGGGGGGACCCTAAACCAAGACTCTCATGGGGACATGGGTGACTGAGCAGGCATGGGGACAGGGGGAGCCTCAAAATCGAGACTCTCCCAGAGACACACTCGGGGCAAGGGTGGGGACAGCGAGGAGTGATGCTGGAGAGGGGGAGTCCCAAACCCAGGATCCTCATGGGGCAGGGGTGGGGCCGGACAGCCCCTGCACTGCTCCGTGCCAGAGCTGGGATGTGTTTCCTGGTGATGACAGCACGTGCCCCTCACACGGGGGCAAACAAGGGCCCTTTCATGTCCCTCACCATCATCCACAGCCAGCAGCACAGCCATGTAGGTGCTGTTCTTGACGAAGGGGGACTCTCGGTCCAGGTGGTCCCGTGCAGTCACCAGGCCGTTCTCGGGGTGCACGGCCAGCCAGCCCGCGGGGTCATGCCCCACCAGGTACCTGGGGGCACAGAGGAGCTGCTGCTGCAGCAAGGGGCACCAGAGCCCCCCCAAACCTCCCCTCCAACCCTGTCCCCTCTCACTTGATCCTCTGGCCCTGCTCCTTGTCAGGGTCCTGGGCGGTGCAGGCGGTGAGGGTCTGCCCWGGGGGCACATCCTCCATCACCGTGGCCAGCTGCACCGGCGGCACGAACACCGGGGCCTCGTTGACGTCCTCCACAGTGACCATCACGGTGGCAGTGGCCATCGGCAGCTTCACGACGAARGGGACCTCGTTGGCCACTGCCACGTGGAGCACGAACTGCTGCTTGGCCTCATAGTCCAGACCCTGGGAGAGGGAGACACGGGCAGTGAGAGGGGACAGGCAGGACCCCACTGTGGGCAGCGATGGGGTGACATGGGGATGACACAGCAGTGACCTCACTGTGGGCAGCGATGGGGTGACACAGGGTGACACAGACCTTGGCAGTAGAGAGGATGCCCTCGTTGGTGGCAGGGTCAGTGGTGATGGTGAAGGCACCCCCATCATTGCCACGCAGGATGGAGTAGACAGCTCGCCACGCCGGCGTGCCGGGCTCGTCCAGGTCGGTGACAGCCAGCCGGGCCACCTCCCGCCCAGCCACATTTTCGGGGACAGCCGCCTCATACTGCGGGTCAGGGACACCATCAGCACCGGGCCAGCACCATGGGAGGGTCACACCCAGCGGGAGGGCCCACGTTACCGTTTTGGGGTCAAACTCGGGGGCATTATCATTGACATCAGCGATCTCAATGACGGCCAGCGCGGTGGTGGTCAGTCCCTCCCCATCCAGGTCAGCCGCCTGCACGGTCAGTGTGTACTCCCGCACACGCTGTGGTGGACAGACAGACAGACAGACAGACAGACAGCCCGTCAGCCCCTGCTGGGGGCTGGGACCCCTGCCCCACGGTGCTGCAGAGCCCACCTCCCGGTCGAGGCCGCTGGCGATCACACTGAGGGTGCCGGTGGCCCGGTTGACAGTGAACATTTGGGGATGGGGCTCCCGTGGCTCYTGGCTGAGGATGGAGTAGGCAATGACACCGTTGTAGGTCTCCACCGCATCATCCGCATCCGTGGCTGTCACCTGCATGACGGAGGTGCCTGGGGATGTGCAGGTGCTGGTGAGAGSGATGCTGGGGGGGACGGTGCCAGGGCTGTGCCCAAGGAACAGGGCTGGTGGGACGCAGAGCTTCCYCCTGGCACGGGGTCCTACCCGGCAGAGCTCCCTCGGGCACAGAGCCCCTGAACACCTCCTGCGTGAACTGGGGCTTGTTGTCATTCTGGTCTGTCACCGTCACAATGATCTCCATCGGCTCCTCCACTGGTTTACCGTTCTCGGACACGGCGTGGGAGAAGAGCTGCGGGGTGGGGTGTGAGCTGGGGGCCTGGCAGAGCACCCCCAGTGTCCCCCCAGTGTCCCCCCAGTGTCCCCTGGCAAGGACCCACATGGTACTTGTCGATGTGCTCCCGGTCCAGCGGCTGCGTCACCTTCATCCAGCCGGACTCCTTCTCGATGGTGAAGATGCCCTCGGGGGGAGCATCTGCTCCCTGTCCCGTGATGCTGTAGAAGATCTTGGTGTCTCTGTCCCGGTTGGATTTGATCTGGGAGGAGACACAGATCAAAGGGATGGGGTCAGCACCCCCCACCCCATCACACCCTGCCCATCCCCGAGGCAGTGGGGACAGACCCCCACCACCCACCTCCGTGCCCAGACTGATTCCCCTCATACCTGAACCAGCTTTTTGGGGAAGGGGCCCCTCTCATTTTCAGGAACCTTGATGGGGGGGATCACCCAATCCCTCTTCTGCCTCCTGAGAGCAAGGCGAGCCCTGGGGAGCTCCTGTGGGTTGGGGATGRGTGAGGGCACAGCCGGCTGGGGGAGCAGGGGTGGGGGACACGCGGGGCAGCGTTACCTGGGGGGAGCGGCTGCTCTCTGCGGGAACTGGGGCCGGGWGTGGCTGACCAACGGCATCCCGGGGAGAACCAGCATCTCGGGSGGGTACGGCGAGCTCCCTGCCCACCCCCGGTAGCCGCACGGGGCCCCCATCCTCCCGCACCCCGACATCGGGCTCCTCCGTCCTGTACGGCCCCGCGCAGCCTCCGGAGCTCCCTGCAAGGTTGAGGGGTCGGGAAATGGGGGGGATCTCTCCCCCGACACCCCCGGGCTGCAACCACCAGCTCCAGGACCCCGCAAACCCCCAGAGTCCCGAGGCGGAGTGGGACAGGGGACACCAGGAACGGGGCAGGGAACGCCGGGAGCCGTGCGGGAGCGCAGTGGAAGTTTCGGTGGAAGTTTCGGCTTTGTTTCACAGATGATGGGAAATTCCTGGGCGGGCAGAGCCCTGCCCCAGCCCCCTCCCGGTGTGTCACCCCCCTCAGGGCTCCCAACCCCCCGTGGCCAGGACATTGGCCATTGAATCTCCCTCCCCCGCCTCCCACGCTGCATCCCTCGTGCTGGACACAGCCCCGGCTCCGCGCCCCCCCGGGGGAAGGATTAGGGGATTAGCGGAGCTGAGCCAGCTCTGGGCGCCCGAGCGGCCCCGGGCGGAACGCGGAGCGGGGCTGGGGGGGCTGCGGAAGGCGTGGAATGGGGCAGGGAGAGCTGWGCCCCACAACTACCCCACATGGGAGGGAGCGAGCCCGGGGGCGACGGTGGAGACGTGTGGGGAGCAGCAACCGTGCCCCGAGGGCAGTGCCGGGGCCCCTCCCTGTCGCGATGGCCGCGATAAGGGACATTAATGGGGCTGGGGGGCATCGGTCACCGTGGCAAGCAGGGCAGGAGGAGCCCGGGGAAGCCCCCAACCCCTGTGATGAGRAGCCCCCAGCCCCTCTCCCCAGCTATGGCACGGATCGCTGCTCCCACCGAAGGGCCCAGCGGCAGAGGGGGTACCCCACCGTGTCCTCGGGGTCCCTCCATGGAGAGCCCCGGGGCACCGTGCCCGCCGGGTGCTAAGGCGGAGCCGCACGGTCGGTGCCGGGGCCATGCGCTGCCCACGGAGGGGGGCTCGCAGTGGCATGGCCGGACCCCAGCCTGTGCCCACAGCAGGGCCCTGGCAGCGCCCAGCTCCCGTCCTGGCAGGCTCAGCTGATGGAAACGGGATGTGGTATCCACGGCAGGCGGAGGTCGGGGCTCCTCCCTGGCACTTACGGCCGAGGAGAGAGCTTTTAGTGCTCCCGCGGCCATTAGGCGAGCGCTGGCTCCGGCCGCGTTCCCGGGCAGCCCCAATCCCCCGGGAGCCAAGAGGGCAGCGGGCCCGGGCCAAGCGCCGGCACCGCTCCAAGAGCTGGCAGCAGCAAGACCCTGCYCAGCCTCGGGCCGGCCAGACCCCACACCCCACGGCCGGAGAACGGTGGCCCTGGGGCACCCAGCCCCGTTGCCAGCCCGGCGCCGGCCACCCACCCTGCGGGGACCCAGCCCTGCCCGCAGCGGGCACCCCACGGCTGGGCCAAAGGCACTGGCATCGGCCGCCACCAGCCCCGTGAGACCGGACGGGCACCGCCAGCCCCACGGGCACCAGACGGGCACCGCCAGCCCCACGGGGCACCGCCAGCCCCATGGCCAAGTCACACAGCCCGGGGACGGAGGGCACAGCCCTGGAGCACAGGAGCCCAGCCAGCCCCATGGCGCATCCCCACACTCGGGGACCCTCGTCAGACCCACACCTGGAGATCCCCGCCAGCCCCACAGCGGGGGCACTGCCATATCCTCCCGAAAAGCAGCGGCCCCACCACCGGGGCAAAGCGATCCCGATCCCGGCAGTGAGGGGGGCCCTGTCGCCCCCATAGTGCCCGGAGCCCCGTTCCCGGTCCCGATCACGGCCCCAGCCCGYCCACGAGGTGTTCCGGGGGTCCCGGTGCCGCCGCGCCCCGACGGTGCGAGTTACCTGGTGCGGGGAACGGCCCGCGGCGCAGCCCCGGGAGGACGCACGGCGGGGCCGGGGAGGGGGCGGACGCCGGCAGGAGCGGGCAGAGGAGGAGGAGGATGAAGATGGAGAGCGGGCAGAGCCCGGAGCGCGGCCCCCGCATGGCCCGTCCGTTGCCGCCGCCGCTGCCGCCGCTCCGCTCGCCGCCCGCCGCGTCCCGCCCCGTTCCGCCCCGCAACGCCCCAGGTGAGGCGGCGGCCGCGCAGGTACCGCCCCGCCCCGGAGAGCGGCTCCAGCACTCCCCAGGCATCCCCCGGCAATGCCCTGGACCCCTCCATTACCCCCGGGACCCTCCGGGTACACCCTTTCACCCCCGCAACCCCCCCGTTACACGCCGTACCCCTCCGGTACCACACGGCACACCCCGACACCCCCGGGCACCCCCGGCAGTCCCCTGGACCCCCACGGCAATCCCCAGCACCCCATGGTACCTCCCGTGTTGCCCGTCGAGATCCAGGCACACCCCGGTACCCCTCGGGCACCGCCCAGTACCCTCCGGGCACACCCCGTACCCCTCTGAAATGCTCCTGTCTGCCCTCAATATCTCCTGGGGCACGGCCCAGTAACCCCTGGCAGCCCTCGGCCACCCGCGATACCCCRCGCTAACCCTGGTCCCCCCGCTACCCGTCGGGCACCCCCCGGTAAGCGCCCATCGGTATCCCCTTGGAACAGCCGGCACTTCCCCGCAGGGCCCGGCAATCCTCGGGCACCGCCCACGCCCCGCGGGCACCCCCGGCTCTCGGTGCCGCCCCCGGTGCCCCCGGCCCCCGCTGCTGCCCCCCGGCCCATCACCGCAGCCCCGCGGGCATCCCGGTGTCTCCTGGCACCTTCGCGGTCCTACCGAGCGTTCCTCGCCCGGCACCTCACCCCGGCAGTACCAGCTCCCCCCGCCATTCCTCCGTGTCACCCCCGGGTGCCTCCTCCCCCTCTGCCGCCTCTGGGTGAACTGGAGCTCTCGGGGGCCCCTGTGAGTGCCCCCAGCCCCACCGGAGAGGGGGTTCCGATGGTCACCGAGGGACAGTGCCCGGGGGGTTCCTGAGCTCCATCGTCCCCCCAGTCTGCAGCCCCATGTCGTGTGCTGTGTCCCCACCGCCGCCCCCCCCGGCCCCCCCCGGGCTGGCAGCGCTGCAGTGCCGGTACTGCTTTCCACGCCAAGGTCACTGACGCCACAGGGAAGGTTCCCGGCTGGCACCTGGGAGGAACAGCCAGTGCAGCCGCAGCCATGGCTCCCTGCACCTTCGCCCTCCTCCTCCTGCTGGTGGGACCATCGCRGTGGGGCCGGGGGGGCTGCATGGACACCCCCCCAGAGACCCCCGGCAGAGCTGTGTCCCTCCATGGCCCTGCAGCCCCATTCTCCATCCCACAGGACCTGCTGACCTTCCCGGAGCACGGACACGGCCTCCGGCGCCACAAGAGGGACTGGGTCATCCCCCCCATCAACTGCCCCGAGAATGACCAGGGACCCTTCCCCAAGCATCTGGCGCAGGTACGTGTCCCCACAGGGTCCAGGGAGGTCCCCAGGTACGTGTCCCCATGGGGACCAGGCAGGGTCCAGGGAGGTCCCCAGGTACGTGTCCCCACGGGATCCAGGCAAGGTCCAGGGAGGTCCCCAGGTACGTGTCCCCACGGGGACCGGGCAGGGTCCAGGGAGGTCCCCAGGTACGTGTCCCCATGGAGACCAGGCGGGGTCCAGGGAGGTCCCCAGAGTGCTGGACACCTCTCCAACTCCCTTTTCCTGCCTCGCTGCCAGATCAAATCCAACAAGGACAAGGAGACCAAGGTTTTCTACAGCATCACGGGGCAGGGAGCAGACACCATCCCCGTGGGTGTGTTCATCATCGAGCGGGAGACGGGGTGGCTGAAGGTGACAAAACCACTGGACCGGGAGGAGAAGGATAAATACGTGGTGAGTGGGATGAGGGGGTCCGTGGTGGGACGGGGACGGTCCTGGGGGCTGTGCAGGCTGACTGTGCCCTCGCAGCTCTACTCCCACGCCGTGTCGGCCAACGGTCAGCCTGTGGAGGATCCCATGGAGATCATCATCACCATTACCGACCGGAATGACAACCGGCCCGTCTTCACCCAGGCGGTTTTCAGCGGTTCTGTGCTGSAGGGAGCTGCGCCAGGTGGGAGCACTGCCACCACCCGGGAGGCAGCACTGTGGGGACGTGTGACAGGTCACCAATAACCACCTGGTCCAGGCACGCCAGTGCTGCAGGTGCTGGCCACCGATGCGGACGATGCCGTGAGCTCCACCAATGGCGTTGTSAGCTATTCCATCCTGAGCCAGGTGCCGGAGCAGCCCCAGCCTGGGATGTTCACCATCAACAGCAGCTCTGGGCTGATCTCTGTGGCCGTGCCGGGGCTGGTGGCCGAGGTGAGCCCCGGACTCAGCCCCCACCGAGCTCAGCCGCCACTCGTGGCTGACGCAGCCTCTTGCTGCAGGTGGTCCCTGAATACACGCTGGAGATCCAGGCTGCCGACCAGGAGGGCTACGGGCTACGAGCCACGGCCACYGCCCGCATCACAGTGCAGGTGAGACCGCAGCCCCCGTGCCCCGCAGCGCACAGGGCAGGGCGGGGCTGTGCAAAAGCCGGCKCTGGCTGCTGCCAGCCCCACGTGCCGCAGCACCGGCCGCTCCAGGTGCTTTCCACGGTGGGAAGCCMGACTGGGAAGGCAGCAGTGCTGTGGCTCCTCCTGGCCCGCTGCCCCAGCTTCCCACCGGGCTCAGGGCCACCAGCCTCAGGGCCCGGCGCTGCCGGAGTGTGGGTGCCAGCGGGGCTCCTGGGYGCAGCTCCCAGCGGGAAGCCGCCCGTGCCGGCTCGGCCCAGCCGGGGAGGAGCACCCGGTTCTGCGGGAGCCCCGTGCCAGAATAGCGGCATCCAGCCGCGCCAGCTCCACGGGGAGAGGCCGTGGCGCCAGGGAGGCCGGGGATGGCGTTCTGTGCGGTGTCACGGGCCGCAGGTCCCTGGCTGAGSAGGAGGGAGGACAGCCAGGTAAGTTTGCCAGGGTGCCTGTGTGGCACCCCGTGCCAGCTGGTGCTGGTGTCAGGCTGGCAGCAGGAGCTGCTCCGGCTCCAGGGARGCTGCCTGGCCCTGCCGGCTGCTGGGATGTGCTCCGGGAGAAGAAGGGGCCCGGCTGCCCCAGCAGTGCTGAACTGGACGCCAGACAGCTCCAGAGAGCAGGGCAGGGTCAATGCCCGCCTGCACATGACACTGTGGGCCGGGATGGGGCTGCTGGGACGGGGCTGCTTCCTTGTCGGGTCCAGGCTGGCTGCTGCCGCTGTGCTGGGGCTCACCAGGACAGGCAGGTGAGCAGGGAGACGGTGCTGCCRTCAGCAGAGGAGCCACTGGCACCCGTGGGGCTGAGCAGCACGGCACAGGAAGGACAGGGGTTTCCACAGCCCACCCTGGGGAAGAGCAGGGTGCAGGGGCTCAGCTGCAGAACAGCCAYGGGGGAGGCAGATGGTGCTGCCAGGACAGATCCCAGCCCTGCCTCCCCCTCTGCCACAGGCCGACAGCATGACTGAGGTGGGAAATGGCACCCTGACCACCCAYGTGCTGAACACGGCCACAGGGCTGCCAGCAGCCGGTCTTCTTGTCCGCCTAGCCCAGCTGCAGGAGCCRGGGCTGCAGTGGACAGAGCTGGCCCAGAGGTAGGAGAGCTGGTGGCACTGGAATGGGGCAGGGATGCTGCTGACAGTGCCCTGGGAGCTTTGGCCAAAGGCTCCTGGCACAACTGGCTGGCCAGCCTTTGCCTGGGATCTGCTTGTTGCAGGGCTGGTGCTTTGGGGTATGGCTGTGGCAGGTTCTGGGGGTAGAGCAGGGCTGGCTTTTGGGGTACAGCAGCACTGGCTCGGTCTGGTTTCAGGCACACGGATGCGGACGGGCGCTGCCAGCCCCTCCTGGCACCAGGACAGGCCAAGGCTGGCACCTACAARCTGCACTTTGAGACAGCCGAGTACTGGCAGGGGCTGGGGCACACCAGCTTCTACCCCTTCGTGGAGGTATGGAGTGTGGGGAGCTGGGGACAGGGGACACAGCAGGTCTGGGGGCTGGGGCCAGGCTCAAGGGGCTGCACTCCCCAGGGCCTGGCAGAGGGAGGGGGCTCCCACCGCTGCTTCCTCGCTCTCCCTCAGGTTGTCTTCACCATTGCTGACCCGGCTCAGAAGCTCCACGTCCCACTGCTGATCAGCCCCTACTCCTACACCACCTACCGGGGCAGTTAGGAGGGCATGGCCTCCCCTGGGGGATGCAGGAATGGCCTCCCTTTGGACGCCACCGACACCATTAAAAGATCCAAACAGCACTATTTTGTCTCAAAAAATTGCCTTCCACTTGTGGGGGGACAGAAGGAGCCCCAGGGGCAGTCTGGTGGAGTGGGTGGCATGCCTGGGGCCCTCCAGCTGTGTTGTGGTTCCCCTTGGGAGGGGAGGTTCCTGAAGATGCTCACTGCGCTCTGCTTAACAGCGCAGAGCAGGAACAGGGCATAGCCCCACTTCCAGTGTGCCAGTGGGACCCTCGCTGCTGCCAGCGTCAGGTGGGCACTGCAACAAGTCCGGCCGGGCCTTGCCCCAGCTCCTGCCCGGGGAAGGGGAAGGACAGTGGCTGGAAACCCAGGTTGTCCAGGGGGATGCCAAAGGATGTCAGTTTTGCCTCGAAGGTCTGCAGCATGTCGTTGTGTGCCTGTGAGGGAAGGGTCCTGTCAGCCCCTCTGTCAGCAGAGGGGAGCYCCCTGCACCCCCAGTCCCATTTCCACCTAAGCCACAGCCACAGAACCACAGAATTGTTTGGGTTGGACACAGCTCCAAGATCATCGAGTCCAACTGCTCCCCCAGCAGTGCCAAGGCCAGCACTAACCCACATCCCCACCATTCTTAAACCCCTTCAGGATTTCTCCCTGCCCTTACCTTGCACACWCGGGCCAGCTGGAGCTGCAGGTCCTGGATGGTGGCATTCTTGGAACTGAGCACGTCCTGCAAAAGGAGACTGGGATGGGGCCACRCTGCCCAGCCCTGGGGACACGGTGGCCGTGCCACGGGCGGGTGTGGCATGGCAGAGCACACAGAGGAGCTGCAGTGCGAGTGGAGTGGCCAGCAGCATGGCCTGGCAAGTGGCCACTACCCTGCCCCCTCTGAGTGGCACTGCCAGGGACAGCCAGCCCCAGGCAGGGACAGGGAGCTCCCAGATGAGCACCACAGCCATCCCGGTCTGCCCTGCTGTGCAGGGCGTGCTGGCAGCACCTGCTCCAGCAGCGCTGCCCTGCCACCGCGGCTCCACAGGAATTACAGGGAGCCAGGCTCCCCCAGGCAGCTGAGACGAGGAATTCAGGGACCCCAGCAGCTGCAAGAGAGCCCGACGCCAGTGACACCATCCCAGGAATGTGTTTTCCTTCCACCTGCTGGGAGGTGAYACATCCGCTGCCTGTTCCACAGGCCTGGTACACATCCCAGAGCATCCCGGAGCTTTCCCTGCCCACAGCAGGAAATGGGTGGGGACAAGCAGGAGGGCACCGGGCGGTGGAGCCCTCGTTCCCTGTCTGTGCCCAACTCCTCGGCTGCAGCTGCAGCAGGCTGCAGGAATGTGGGTCTCCAGGCTCTCTGCAGAGGTATTTTTAGCACGACAGACACCGCAGAGCGCCAGGATCCCGTCAGCACTGTCCCCGCRGCCAGGCGAGGCTCACCAGGTGTGACCCTCCCCTGCACAGAGCCCCTGAGTGCCACCAGACCCACTGGCAGCCAGCTGTGCAGCAGCACGGGATGCTGGCAGTGCCATGGAGCCCGCGGCCATGCTCCTCAAAAGAGGCTCCACCTGAGGGACAGATCAGTGCCAAACTCTGACACCCACACGCTGCACTCTCGAGGCAGAGCCGAGTGCCCCGCGGCACCAAATGTGGCCTGGGAGTGCCAGGAACGAGTGACACCATCTGCAGCCACACAGGATGGGGACCCGTGCATCTCAGGGGCTGCAGGCACCCCACAGTGAGCTCTGCCCCCCAAAGCCAACCCTCACCAGGCCCCAATACCTCCAGCTTGTGTGTGACCAAGGAGAGAGCGTTGGGGCCAAGGTTGGAGGCTGCAACAACCTCGCTGAGCTCCACCTCCTTCTGCTCCAGGAGGCTGAGGAGTCGCTGCAACTTCTGCTCCAGAAGAAGGTTCTTGAACCCCGTTTTTTGCTGCACCTCATTAATGGCTTTRGTGAACTTCTGATAGAGCTCATCTCGCTCTTCCTGAACCTGCTCCGGGAGACAGCGCAGTGTCACACCACCCTCGGGACCCCTGGGGACACAGGGGTCTGCACGAGGCTGACTGGGGTCTGCATAATGGTGTGGAGCACAAACGGGACAGAAAACTGGTCCAGCAGCTCAGCCTGGCCGTTCCCCACGGCACCTGCAGCCCGCAGGGAAGGCAGGTGCTCCGGCACAGCTTCCCTCCCTCTCTCCCTCCCTCTCTCTTTCTGTGGTGCAGCACCTGCGCCTCTCCCTCCTCCTCCTCCTCCCCTCCAGGCATGGAATGCCCCGACGGGCTCCCTGCAGCACTAATTCAGACCCCAACGAGGGCCCCCCRGCACACGGGGGTCTCTCCTCTCATCCCCACAGCTGGCAGCAGTCCCTGGCTCTCAGCTAGTTAATAAGTGTCCTAATTAGGACACGGTCTCTCCTCCAAAGCCTATTTCTGAACGCTCCGAATCTGGCGCTGTCTTAATGATGGATTGTTAATGAGGCCTCGGATCAATGTTCATATTCCTGGGGATTTCTACGAATTGCAAATGAGCTCTCTCCTGCCTCAACAGATTTATCTGGGTTAGTCGGGGGGAGAGCTTGCTCTGCAGGGCTCATCCCAAACCATCCCAGAATGAGAAGGAGCAACCCTGGAAGGCTGGTGGAAGGAGGGGCCCACAGCAATCCCCCCTTGGCTTTGCCCCACACAGCCCCAGCAGCCTGGGGGCCCCGCTGGAGCGTGAATGATTGCTTAGCAAAGGACAAGGCCAGGCCTGTCTGCTGACCATGGGAGAGGCCGGAGCTGGGAGCAGCTTTGCTGGGAGCAGCGGTTATCACCCGACTCTGGATTAGCTTTGCAAAGCCCTTGGCTAAGCACAGGCTCTGCTAAGCCCCACGCCCTGTCCTCTGCAGAGGGTTTGGAGAGGGAATGGGATGGCCAGCCCTGCCTGCAGGTCTCACCTTACTGAACCGCTGCTCCAGCACCTCGTGTTCCCACTGAAGATCCTTCAGTTCCTTCTGAGTGACTTTCAGATGGGCTTTTGAGTTCTGTGAGTGGGAAGGGAGGGTTAAAGAGCACAGGATTGTCTAGGAAGTGCTGGGGATATATTCTGGGAAGGGAGAAAAGTGAGCAGCAGAGAGAAAACCCGGCAGCATCCACACCAACCCCTCTACAGAAGGAGTGATCTCCCTCCCAGTCTCTCTTTGGATCCCTGGCTGAGACACCACAAACACACAGAAAGCAGAACAGGACTTGCTTTGCCCAGCAATCACAGGATGCCAAGTGGCAGAGGTCAGTGTTTTTCCTCCAGAAATGAGCCCATGAAAGGACAGGGTTGGCCACTCACCATCAGGGCCTCCTTGTCCCTATARTAATGAACCAACTTCTTTTGCAGCTCAGCCACCTGCTCTTGGGCCTCCTGCAGCGGCTCTATCAGCTGCTTGTTCTGGAGCATCACTTCTGCCTTCTCCTTTTCCAACTTAGTCTCCCTCTTCTTCAAGTCTTCCACCTGCTCCTGTTCTTGGGAATACAAGTGCCAGCTCCTGGGAGCTGCCCAGCCTCTCAGAGTCCCCCACACCCTTGGGACACCCTCCCTGCTCATGTGCAGGCCACCAGCAGCACCCACACTGATCCCTGGAGATAGCAGATCCAGGTGAGGATCCARGAGACCCTGGCAGAAGGGTCCCTGGGTGGAGAGGTGACACAGGGACRGGCAATACCTTCAGGAGGTTGATGAGTGACAGGTTTTTGGTGGTGATATCATTGTAGTARTTCTTGATGGCACCAAAAGCCGCCTCATGGTTGCTCATCAGCTCGCTGATCTGGGTGTTCTTCCTCTCCTCCAGCTCATGGATCTCTGTCTTCCTCCGCAGGTCCATCTCATCCCGTAGTGCCTGCATCTTCTTGGTGTACTTGTCCTCCATATCTGGGGGAAAATTGTCAGAGCTGGGGGAAAACTGGGGGGAAAAGTGACCAGAATGGGAAAGGGAGAAAAAACTGCCATAACTGAGTTTATGTGGGATGGGAACAGCTGGAACTGGGAGGGAGAAACAGCCAGAAGTGGAGGGCAAACTGGACAGACTGGGGGAGGAAAAACAGCTGGAGCTTGTAGGGAAAACTGGCCAGAACCTCGGGTGGGGGAGATCAGCCAGAACTGGGGTGGGAAACGGAGCAGAACTGGGAGGAAAAAGCAGCCAGAACTGGGAAGAAAAAAATGGCCAGAACTGGGGSGAACCTGCCCCCATCTGCTCGAGGTGCTGCTCGGAGCCAGGAGCAGCTCTCCCTGTCATGCTCCCATGGGATCTGCCTCATGCCCTGACCTTTGTTCTGCATCTCGAAGTCGTTGCGTAGCCGGGACATCTCCTCCTCATGTTTCTGTGAGGAAGAAGCTCCATGTTACAGGAAACAACCAAATCCCAAGCCAGGCCATCCCCAGGGATTCCCTCCCGCTCTCTGGGAAAAGATTCTGATCCCACATTGATGGAAACAGTGGCTCAGAGGTTCTCCAGCTGCTCTCGCAGCTCCCCACTGTGGGAGAGGGGTCACCCAGGAACCCTGCACCAGAAATCCCATCCCACCCCACAGAGAGAGCCAGGAAGGCAAGATCCCACTCCTGCTCCCACCCTGGGGCTGAGGCACCTCACAGGTGGCTCCAGCCCAGCCAGGGACATACCAGGCAGAGGTTTGTAATTGCTGCTTCATTGGCCAACTCCTGCTCCTTCAGCTTCACATTCAAGGAGCGCTTCTCATTCCACAGCTCCTGCTCCTGGTCCCAGTGATCCTTCTGGGCCCGCTTCAGGGACAGGACTCCCTCTGCCTTCAGGTCTGTCAGGTTCTCCTGCTGCTCATGCACSAGGTGCTTCACCTTCTGCTTGTATACCTAAAGACAGGCCAGAGACCGGGTGAGGGGCTCAGCAGGAGACCCCCAGAGCTGGGACACTGGTGAGACATTCCTGGATTGSACCCTGCCCAGCTCCTCCTCCTCAGGGCTGCCCAAGGCTCACCCAGAGCCCTTTGGCCCCACCTTGATCTCCAACTGGTGCCTCTCCTCTGCCTCCTCCATCTCCCGATCCCGGTTCCGCAGCTCTGTTTTCTTCTCCTCCAGTTCCTGGCGGGTGATTTCCCAGTAGCTCTGAATTCTGTTACATTCCAGCTGGAAAGAGTTCCGCTCTTGCCGCTCCCGGTCCAGCTCCTCCCTGACACGTTTGACATGCTCCAGAAGCTGCAAAGATGAGAGGAAGGGACAGGTAAGGGGGGAGGCCTTGAACAGAGGTCTTTGGAGACTCCATCCCAGAGCTGGCAGGACATGGTGGAGGTCCCTGACTGAACCCAGCAGCTTCTGGAAAAGGAGTCACAAAACCTCCTCTCCCTGCCCGCAGGCTGGGATGGGGCTCTGCCTCACAGTGTCTGGTAACACCATTCTCAGTGGTTCATGGGATTGTTTGGGTTGGAAAAGCCTCTAAGATCMAGTTTGGCTGTTCCTCCAGCACAGCCAATGCCACCCCCAACCTAAGCCCCCAAGTGCCATATCCACGTGATTCTTAAATTCCTCAGGGATGGGGACTCCACCACTGCCCTGGGCAGCCTAAGCCAGGGCTGGACACCCTTTCCAGGAAGAAATTTTCCTAATATCCAGCTTGAACCTTCTCTGGCACAACTAGAGGCCATATCCTCTTGTCCTGTCCCTTGTGCCCTGGGAGCAGAGCCTGCCCCCAGCTATCTGCCCCTGTCAGGGAGCTGTGGAGAGCCAGAGGGTCCCTTTGAGTCTCCTTTTCTCCAGGTTGAGCTCTCCCAGCTCCTTGTGCTCCAGASGCTTTTCCAACTTCTCTCCCTTCCCTGGACACACACCAGCCCTTCAGTGTCTTTCTTGCCATGAAGGACCCCAGGATCCCAAGTACAGCCTCAGCAGTGCCCAGAACACAGGGCTGGAGAGCAGAGGGTGCCATGAGGAGGCTGCTCCTTCCAGGAACAGCAAGATCCCCTCTCCCCAGCCCCAGACAGGCGTCAGTGACACAGACTGTCCCAGGCGTCAGTGCTCATCCCTGTCACCCTCTGCACCTGTTGTTCCCMGAGCTGGGCCAGGTGCCACGCAGGGATCCCGAGAGCTGTTCTTACATCAGCAAAATCCTACTCCTCAGGCAGGGGCCTGGGGGATTTCTCACCTGCTCCTTGCTCATGCTCTCCGGRGCCAAGGCATCCACCACTCCCCCTTTGCCTTTGCCTTTGCCTTTCCCTTTCTTTTTGGGTGCCTGAGGACAGAAAGCCARACACAGGAGGTGAATGGGTGACGAGGAAACTGTGCTGCTCAGGGCCCCCGTGGCAGCCCCGGAGCATCSCTGCTCTCACGGCAGGGACGGRRCRACAACGGTGACACGGAGYCGGGGTCCCGGGAGRAGCCGGGAAGCCGCCGGGACCCTCRMGGTTCATGCAATACCGCTGCCGACCCAGCTCCGGGGTGAACCCTCAAGCACAAAACATCTGTACCCAAAATAACGCCTCAGAAGCGTCACCGCAGCGCTGGGAACGGCGCCGAGGGGCTCCGTACCTTCCCGGGGAACGGGCCAGGACAGGCCGGGGCTCGCAGACATCGGGGCGCGGGGCAGGCCGAGCTCCACCGCCCTGCCCTGCCCGCACCCCCCGGCCGCAGGGAACCCTTCAGCAGCCGTCTCGGCTCTACCCCCGGCCCCGGTTCTCCTCCCCRTTCCGWTCCCGGYCCCGGTTCTCCTCCCCATCCCGATCCCGGCCCGGTTCCGCTCTCACCATGGCGGCGGCCGGCGGCTACACCGTCTCCGGGCAACGGACGAGCAGATCCCGCGAGAGGATGGCGAAACCTCGCGAGAGGAGCGCTGCGCCCCCTAGCAACGCCACGCTCCGCCCTAGCAACGGGGGCGGGGCCAGCGGGACCGGGGCGGGGATCGGGAGGGGACACCGGGAGGGGACACCGGGGAGGAGCGGGGGGACATCGTGGGGACCGGGCCGGGAGGAGGCGGCGGCGGGGACTGGAGGGAACGGGGGCACCGGGGGAACCGAGCAGTTTGGAGGGAACCGGGGGAGTTCGGTGGGGACAAACCCGGGGGTCCCGCTGTGCGCGGCACAGGCCCCTCCCAACCCCCGCGCACCGGGCTGTGTCCCGGGCTGTCCCCGCCGCCGGGGTCTCGCGGCTCCGCTCTCACACCTCCCTGCTGCCGCTGCACCCCCACTCCCCCGTGTGCCCCCCCCCGGCTCTTCCCGGTCTCCTCCGTGCCCTCCCGTGTTCCCCCCCGGTGCCTCCCGCCCCTCGGTTCCGCCCATCCCGGTGTCCCCGCCTCCGGTGTCCCCGCCCCCGCCGCGGCGGGCAGGACCGTACGGGCTGCGGGCTGGCACCGGGCCCGCCCAGCACCGGACCGGCACCGGCACCGGCACCGGCATCAGAGCCGACCCCGGCCCATGGCGGCTGCGGCAGCGGCCACCGCAGGTGAGGGCGGCGGGGGAGGCACGGAGCGGCACGCCCATCACCGTGGAACCGGGCCGGGCCCCGCGGGGCGGACAAGGAGATGTAGGGCGGGGGTGCGAGGGGAGGGGGTGCATGGCGGGGCGAGTTGGGGTGCAAACGGGGCCGTGGGGCCGGCTGGAGGGGGAGCGCTGTTGGGGGGCGGGGACAGGACATGGGGGGGACCGTGCAGGGACAGTCTGGGATGGACGGGGAGAGCAGTGGGGTGCCCAGGGAACGGGGCCGGGACACGGCGGGGGTTCAGGGGCTCTGAGGGAGCACTGGAGTGCCCTGGGGACATGGGGACAGTGGGATGCTCGCAGGATGTGGGGGTGCAGTGGGGTGACAAGGTGGGGCGGTGGGGTGGCCGGGGGTCAGACGAAGCAGTGCACTGCGCTGGGGACTTGGATTGCAATGGGGTGCCCAGGGAATGTGGGGGGACAGTGGGGTGCCCGAGGGCGTAGAGGAGCAGTAGGGTGCTCGTAGGACATGAAGGAACAGTGGGGTGCCCAGGGAGGTGGGGATCAGTGGGGTACCTGGCCGACATCCCGCACAGCTGTGCCAGTGCCGGTGTGCCGAGGGACTTGGGGACAGGGAGGTGGCTGTGCCGGTGCGGCTGAAGGGGGCCCGCTATTCTGGAGGGGGCGTCCGGTATTCCGGGGCAGTTGCACCTGGTGGCAGAGGCGGTACCGGGGCTCGCCTGCACTCCCGTCCCTCCCGCGTGTGCCCCGCACGCCGCTGTGCCGTAGCCGCCAGCACGGGGCAGCCCCGGAGCGGCACCGGGGACAGCAGRACACCGGGCCCTTGAGGGGACGGCACCACCGAGGCGGGCTGCGGGTGCCGTGGGGTGACCGGAGCCATGGGGTGCCGGTACCGGCGGCTGCCCGGCTCTGCGGTTGCCGTGAGTCAGCACAGGGCGTGCGGGAGAGATCCCTGATCCGGCCCCGCTCCCGCCAGGCAGCCGGTGAAGCCAGGCCGGAGCGGGCGGCGTGGCCGGTGACACGGCCGGTGGCACGGCGGGACCATGCAGGCGGAGGCCAGAGGGGAATTCTGCAGCCGGGATCAGCGCCCTGGTGGGTGMGGGCGAGGCGGGGGCGGGGGCGGGGGGGCAGCGCTCCTTACGGTGACACGGCACGGTGTCACCCGCCGGGCTGGGCACTGCACGGGGGAGGTGGCGGGAGGGGACCCGGGGCGGATCAGGACCGCATTTCCCGGCCCGAGGGAACGCGCCCCTGGTGCCACCCTGCGGGGTCAGGATGTGGCAGAGCCAGTGTCAGGGCAGAGGGCTGCTGTCCCACTGGTGTCCTGCAGCTCCGTGTACAGCAGTAGGAACACCCCATAACATCCCTGTGCTTTTGGGTTGAAGGGCTCTGTCCCTGCCCCGCTGTCACCATCCCTGTGCCGTGTCACCGGTAACGCAGTGGTGGCCTGGTCTGGTGGTGGCACGGACCTCGGGGGGACAGGGTGCTGTGTCTCCCCGGGCTCTCCTGGGCCTCCTTCCCCGCTCAGTGCCCACTCAGCCCCGAGAGCAGCCGTGCCACCACCAGGGCCTGTGCCACCACCGTGTGCCATGCCCCTGTGCCATGCCCGTGACCCTGTGCCACGGCTGCCCGGTCCCACCGGCTCTTCCCGAGGACAATCCCAGCACAATCCGCCCTTGTCCGGGCCCCGGCACAGGCTGCGCTTTGTCTCGCCGACACAAAGGGGCTGCGCGGGGAGGGGGGCGCGGGGCGGGGGGTGGGGGCTGCCAGCTGCCGGCATGAGGGTCTCGGGCAGCTCTGCCCATCCCCCCGGTTCTCCCGGGGGTCCTGCTGTGCCCAKCCCCGCAGCCGGACACCCCGTGAGWGCTGGGGGGCCCCGGGAGGAGCTGYCCTCACTGACACGGGAGGTGCCGATGTGGCAGAGCTTGGCAAGGAGCCACTGGTCCCGGAGCGCCCTGCGGGGACCCCCACCCATGGGCCGGCCCAGGAGACCCCCCGAGTCCCTGTGGAGGAGCAGGGTGGCATCCCCATCCCCAGCGCTGGCCTGCTGCAGGTCACCGAGCGCCGACGTGAGTGCAGCCCTGAGCCGGGGTCCCTGCCTGTCCCCAGAGTCACTGCCTGTCCCCTGCCTGCTCCTGGGATCCCTGTCCGTGTCTGAGGTCACCCCCTTTGTCCCTGGGGTGTCTGCCTGCCCACAGCATCCCCTGCCTCTCCCCAGCACCTCGGGTCTGCTCCAGGGCTTCCTGCCTTTTCCTGGCATCTTTGCCAGCCCTGGGGTCTCCTGCCTGCCCCCAGTCTTCTGTCATCCTCTGGGTTCCTCCACTTGTCCCTGGGGTCTCCTTCCTGTCCCTGGGGTCCCCTGCGGGCCCCCAGCCAGTCACGGCCCCCTCCAAGCCCCTCCAGCTCCCTGGGCCCCGAGCACCAGACCCCTGCCCCTCTCAAGCCCCCGTGGGGGATATCGGTGGGACCCCAGCCCCTCGGCGATCCCGCAGAGCCCCTGAGCAGCGTGTCCTCGCTGGAGGTGCACTTCGACCTGCTGGACCTGACAGAGCTGACGGATATGTCGGACCAGGAGCTGGCCGAGGTCTTCGCCGATTCCGACGAGGAGAACGTGTCCGGAGAGATGCCCGGCGGTGAGCGGGGGTCCGGGGCTGCCGGTCCCGGTCCCGGTCTGTCCGCCCGTTCCAGCGCGTCGCTGACCGCCCACCCGCCCGTGCGTCCCGCAGGGCTGCAGCCGCCGGCGGCGCCGCGGGCCGGGTACCTGCGCTCGCCCTCCTGGACCCGGGCGCGGGAGCAGGGCCGGGACAAGAAGCACCTGAGTGACCCCGAGCTGCCACCGGGACCGCCGGACGCCTTCCTGCCCGCCGAGCGCCCGCGGGAGCCCTAGGGACAAAACCCGCCGGGGGACACCGGGATACGCTGGTGCTGGTCCCGTCGGTACCGATGGAGCCCGTCCCTGGGCACAGGACTCCCGTACGCCCGCCCGGAGGGCAGCGGCGGCCCCGGCCCCGCGGCGGGGAGGCACCGGGACTGCCCTCAGCCGGTGACCCGCGGCTCCGGGATGAACCGGGCCGGCCCCGCCGGGCCCCGGGAGCGGCGGGTGGGGCAGGACGGGACGGGTCGCACGGCTCAGCCCGACCCCACGGAGAGCGGCCGGTGCCGGTGCCCGCCCGGTTCTGATGTAGCAGTGCTGTGATCCGGTAAAACCGACCGACCGACCGACCGCCAGCTTCTGCCCGTCTGCGCTGCCGCGGAGGGGAGCGGGAGGGGCTGGGGGACCAACCCTGGAAACACCGGGGAGTGCGGGGGGACAGCGGGGAGGGAACGCCGGCCGGTACTGGGGCAGAGGTGCCGCGGCCCCTCCCGGTGAACGGGACACTGCCGGTGACTGCGGCACATCCCCGAAATCGTCACCGCGCGATTATATCCCACGGGCGGCGCCGGACCGGCCCCGGTGCACACCCCGCCTCCCCCCCCGTCAGGAACACGAGTGCTGGGTTGCGCAAAGAGGCTCGTTAATGCTACAGGAAACACCAGGGAGAAGGGGAGGCAGCGGCTCCACACCACACCCGGTCCAGCCCGGGGAAGCCCCCCGCAACACCTCTCCGGGGCTCGGCCCCGGTAACAGCGGTGCCTGGGCTGGGGAGGGACCGGATTCCGGTATTGTGTATGGAAGAGGGCTCGGTCCCATCCCGGTGCCGGGACTGAGCCCTCCGGACAGCACCCGTCACCCCGGGACAGCGCAGCACCAGCCCGGCCCGCACCCCAGTCCCATGTAGGGGACAGTCCCATGTAGCCCCATGTGGGGCCTCAACCGGATCCCCATTAACCAGATCCCGGCCCCTCCAGCAGGGCTCTCCGTGCTCCCGGGAATGGCCGGGGTCCAGCTGTGATTGTCCCTCTGACAGTGCTGCCACTCCCATGAGCAGAGGGTCCCAGAGCCAGGGGCAGGGCCACTCCAAGGGGCTGATTGTATCCATCCCAGAGCCCTGAGGTGGGTGGAGGACAGCCTCGGGCCTGAGACCCTGCCAAGGGCCAAACCCCGCTCAGGGCTCTCCCTCCGTGCCGGAGTCCTGGAACAGGGATTGTTTCCGCAGGCTCAGCCGGGCGCACCGGGGGCAGGTGGTGGAGTTGTCATAGTAGCAGTCCCTGGAGGGGAGGGGACAGTGCTGGGTCASCCCCTGCCCACAGGGTCACCCCCATGTCCCCACATCCTGCCCTGTGTGTCGGTACCTGTGGAAGACGGCGGAGCAGTCGGCGCAGACCGAGGTGTGGCTGTCAAAGGGGAAGAGCACATCGCCCTCCCGGCACAGCTCGCAGACAAAGCCCTTGGCCTGGCACCGCTGGGGGAGCAGGCAGGAGGTGACAATGTGACCCTGTTGGCCCTCCATTGGCCCCACAGCTCTGCCCCACAGCGTGGGCTCACCTCACAGTCCAGCTTGATGTGCTTGGCGAAGAGCGTGTGGATCTCGGTGAGGGAGCAGCCGAGGCGCCCGGCCTCGATGTCGATCAGGTCCTGCAGCGAGTACATCTCATCGTTCTCCACAAAGTGCTGCCGGTCCTGCAGCTGTGGGCAAGCAGGTCAGTGTGACTGTCACCGCTGTGTGACCACCACCACTGTGTGACCGCCACCGCCACGCCTGGCCCTGTCCCCCCTGCCTGACCTGCAGCAGCAGCCGTGCCTCCATTGCCTCCTTGCAGGTGATGAAGTAGGGCTTCATCAACAGGATGTCCTGGCGCAGCTTCTGCAGGGGACAGGATGGGATGGGAATGGGGACAGGAATGGGGACAGGAATGGGGACAGGAATGGGACCATAGGGAAAAGGGCAATAGCAGGGGCAGGGTGAGGATGGGGACAGGTTTGGGAATGGGATGGAGACAGGAGCATGACAAGAACAGAACCAGGTTGGGTCGAGTTCATTCCTCTGTCCCAAACCCCTCACCTTGCTCCCTCACTGTGGTCCCACCTCCTGTTCACCCTATGCACCCTCTGTGGTGTCCCTGCCCTTTTGGGGTGTCCTCCCCAGTCCTTGCACTCACCCGGATCTCCACCAGCTCCTCCACGTAGTTGAAGAGCAGGGGGTTGATCTCACGCAGCTTCAGCACCGGCCGTGACACCATCAGCGCCAGGTACCTCATGCTGCACCGTGACACCTGAACGACACCGCCAGGGCCACCGTCACCCCCCGCACCCGCTGCCACCAACCGCAGGCAGGGACCCACAGCAGGGACACGGCCCTGGGGACATGGCTTCCCCTCAAGTGACCCCATAACCAGGGACAGGACCCCCACAACCAGGAATGGGGTCCCCCAAGTGACCTCTACACAAGGGACATGCCCCATGCCCCCCAGGGACCCCCATGACCCCCAGGGACATGGCCCCCCAGGTGGCCTCTACCCAGGGTCACTGTCCATGACCCCCCACCCCATGCCAGGGGCACCTTGCGGGGCTCAAAGTCCCAGTTGTGGATGGCCCGGGCGGGCACCACGGCCAGGTCGTTCCAGTGGCAGCTGGAGCAGTAGTAGAGTCCGGTGTAGTCGCACTGTCGGGCCTCGCTGGGCACCCCCCCTGTGGTGGCACAGGGCTGGCACGGGGCTGGCAYTGCCAYYGCCCCACCCTGCTCACCCCWCACCCCACACAGGACACCCAGCAACACCCAGGGACATGCCAGCGCCCCTGTGTCACCTTCCCCAGCTCCCCAGAGCTCCCAGGCCCCAGAGCCCCAACCGTCAGCTCCCACCAGCCCCATACAGCTCCCACCCCACAGCCCCGCAGCCCCAGGCAGCTCCCCCAGCCTCACAGAGCCCCTCAAGAGAGCCCAGCCCCACAAGCTCCCACCTCCCCTCTGCCCTCCCAGCCTCACAACCCTCAGCCCCACACAGCTCCATGAAGCCCCCAGCCCCACAGAGCTCCCAGTTCATCCCAGCCCTATACCCCCCAGCCCCACAGAGCTCCCAGTTCATCCCAGCCCCATACTCCCAGCCCCACAGAGCTCCCAGTTCATCCCAGCCCCACAGAGCTCCCAGTTCATCCCAGCCCCACAGAGCTCCCAGTTCATCCCAGCCCCATACCCCCAGCCTCACAGAGCCCCTCAAGAGAGCCCAGCCCCACAAGCTCCCACCTCCCCTCTGCCCCCCCAGCCTCACAACCTTCAGCCCCACACAGCTCCACGAAGCCTCCAGCCCCAGAGAGCTCCTAGTTCATCCCAGCCCCACAGAGCTCCCAGTTCATCCCAGCCCCATACCCCCAGCCCCACAGAGCTCCCAGTTCATCCCAGCCCCACAGAGCTCCCAGTTCATCCCAGCCCCATACTCCCAGCCCCACAGAGCTCCCAGTTCATCCCAGCCCCATATCCCCAGCCCCACAGAGCCCTCCCAGTCCCAGAGCCCCTCACTCCCCCAGCCCCACAGTTCCCCCCAATCCCCCTGGCATTGGTGGGGGCTCACGGAGGGAGATGGGGGCTCGGCACTCGGCACAGCGATAGTCCTGGCTGTCCAGCCCGCTCTCGGGGCAGATGCTCAGCTGGTACTCGGCTTGGTGGCTCACCTGGGCCCGCACACACGGCCGGCTCACCAGCGGCAGGCACTTGCTGTGGCACCGGTAGTAGCAGCCTGSGGGGCACARAGAGGTCAGGGCGGGGATGGGGGGGATGGGGACATGGATTGGGGGGTYCTAAACCCACCTGTGCAGGTGTACCAGGTCTGGATGAGCCCCCAGATGATGGTGCTGCACTTGTCRCACATCTGCTTGACGCTCTTGCTCTTCTCCTTGTAGAAGCGATGCTCCAGGACCACCCGGATGTTGGGCTCATCCTCAGCAGGGTCCTGCAGGGGAAAAGGGGGGCGGGCAGAGAAATAAAAAATCATGGAATGGTTTGGGTTGGAAGGGATCTTAAACATTATCCAGTTCCACCCCCTGCCATGGGCAGGGATACCTTCCACTGTCCCAGAGTGCTCTAAGCCCTGTTCAACCTGGCCTGGGACACTTCCAGGGATGGGTGTCAGTGTGGAGCCCCAGCCATGGAGACCCCCAGCCCCAGCCCCAGCCCCACCTTGAGCTCCTGCAGCTTGAGGCGGAGGTGGATGAGCCGAACCACGGCGTCCTTCTGCCGCTCCGAGTGCTCGGGCAGCGCCAGGATCACCCGCTTGCACTCCTCGATGGCCCGGCGCAGCTGTGGCACGTCCGACGCCAGGATCAGCCCCTGCCACCGCCACCAGAGGAGAGGAAGGGTGAGCCGAGCCCACCAAATCCCCCTCACCCCCACAACAGCCACCCCACTCACCACGGGCCGGGAGAAGTGATCCTCGGCCAGCCCCAGGTCCAGGGCACCCTCGGGGTCCCCCGGAGCAGGATCCGGCTGCTGGGCTGCAAAGGGAGATCTCATGGGGGGCTGAATGCACCCCGGAACAGGGGACACCATGGAGGGGTTGGGCCTTGCCCACCCAGTGCGGGACAGGGAGTGGGGCGGGGTGTAGCACCCACCTGGGGCAGGGGATTCTCCGTCRGGACGCTCTGGCTGCTCGGGGCTCTTGTTGAAGGGGTTGAGGTGGGCCTGGCGGAAGCGRGCCAGCCGCTCRTCYGATGCCATTGCTGCCGTCCTGCTGRGGAATGGACGCTGCCTCAGTTACCCCAGCACTGGCACTGTCACCAGCACTGGCGCTGACACCCTGGCATTGCCACCCCAGGTGTCACTGTCACCATCACCAACACCCCGTGACAGGAACTCGCACCCTATCAGCAGCACCCACACCCTGGCACCAGCGCAATCATCCCGTCACAAGCACTAATAGCACCTCACCAGCACCGACACTGTCACCAACAGCCTGTCATGGCACTGACACTCCAGCGTTGGCACTGGCATCCCAGCACCAGCACAGACACTGTCACCAACACCTTGTCACCGGCGCTGACACCYGGGCACCAGCACCAATACCAGCACCGATGCCCTGGCACTGATACCCCGACACTTGCATCCCACCAACACCTCATCACCAGCACCCTCACTGACACTTTTTCACCAGCACCAACACCCTGGTACACCCCCTGGGCATATCAGCACTGGCACCGACACCTCCTCACTGTCACTGACACCCCGATACACCCACCGAAACCCCAACAATGACACAAACACCGACACACCGTCACCGCCACAAACACCGACACACGGGCATTCTGTCACAACACCCCAGCACCGTTCCCGTCCCCGACACCTCGGTCCCGGCACCAACACCCTGTCCCTGTCCCTGTTCCCGTCCCCGTCCCCGCGGACAGACGCGTCTCTCCGCCTCCCACGCCCTGCCCCGCCGCCACCGCCCGCTTCGGCCCA